GAGGCCGGGGCCTCGGTATATGAAGTCTGGAGGCCGGGGCCTCTGTATATGAAGTCTGGAGGTCGGGGCCTCTGTATATGAAGTCTGGAGGTCGGGGTCTCTGTATATGAAGTCTGGAGGTCGGAGCCTCTGTATATGAAGTCTGGAGGTCGGGGCCTCTGTATATGAAGTCTGGAGGGCGGAGCCTCTGAATATGAAGTCCGGAGGTCGGGGCCTCTGTATATGAAGTCCGTAGGGCGGAGCCTCTGTATATATGAAGTCTGGAGGTCGGGGCCTCTGTATATGAAGTCTGGAGGTCGGGGCCTCTGTATATGAAGTCTGGAGGTCGGGGTCTCTGTATATGAAGTCCGGAGGGTGGAGCCTCTGTCTGGAAGTCGGGCCTGACCTCCGTTTATCTGCTCCTCCGTCTGCCTCCGCTTCATGAGAAATGACTTCACCTGGCCACCGTAGGACCGGGCCTTTGATCTCTGATTGGATTCTGATCTTCCCTGACAACCTTCCTTCCTTTGCCTTTCTATTGGTCAGCTGTTGTCAGCGACAATTCCCCCCCGGGATCGTCCCACACAGAGCCGGCGTTCCTTACTGAGCTTAGGGTGACGGCAGGACGCTAGTTTGTGTCCTCCCGTTACCCTAAGGAGAACTATGGGGGAAAGCCCTGACCCCGTACTTCTCCTTTAATCACTTTGCTGGTCCCCTCAGCGAAATGTAAACTTTCTTCAGCAGGTGCTATTGAAGACCTCCGGCCCACTGTAAACCCCGCGACCCCCCTCCTGGAGACGCGCAGATGATTCCATAGTTCCTGCCGTGCAGGAATGTAGCCAATGTACATACAGTGGTACCTTGGTTCGCGAACAGAAAGTTCGGCAAAATTTCGCTTGAACTCCAACTCGGGCGACGAATCTGCGGCCATCTTCCCCACTCTGACACGTGGTCGTGGCTTCCTCTAGTCGTGGCATTCCTGCATTCAATGTCACTCTCCGGTTACAGATGCCGGAGAGAGATCTGCTTCATCGGCTTCTCCGGGGGTCCCTAGGTGACATTAGGGGTCTTAGAGATGTCTCCATAAAGAGGACCTGTCATGTGAATTGGCTATCACATCATATGGGGTTTCTTAGCCCTCTCTCCCCCCCATGTGATAGCAATAAAGTTATGTGTAACAATAATAAAAAAAAAAAGC